AGCTTCAGTTTATTTGGCAATGGGTAACTAGAGGGAAAGACAAAACCTGTGCAGGAGGGATGAGATCCAACTGAATTGGTGTGGAGCCAGAAAATGAACAAGATTTCTGGAGGAGAAAGCTTCTGGGATCACAGAAATAAATAGACAACTGGATTAAGGAGTCAAATGTATGTAAAAGGTCATATACCCCAAATTAAAACTATAATAAAAAGCTTATAAGCCCATGTGAGAACCTTCAAAGCAGTGTGAGGTATAATAAAGTGAAGATATTCTATACAATAACAATTACAGTAATACCCATTACTGGAACATGATAGAATGACAAATCAATGGACATATATACAGTTTACTGCTACACTTGGGGAGTACATCAAGGGCTCAGTAAATAACTCGGTGAGAAAACTGGGAGTAATGGCCACAAACTCCTGGAAGATCGATTCAGGCTCAACATTAGGAAGAACTTCTTCATAGTCAGGTTGTCCAGACTGTGGAATAAACTCCCTTCCGAGGTGGTGCAATCACCTACCCTGGAAATCTTCAAGAGGAGATTAACCAGTCACTTTGCTGGGCTCACCTGACTCCCAGTTATTTTTCCTGCTTGGTGCAGCGGGCTGGACCTGATGATCTTCCAAGGTCCATTCTGACCTTGCAGTCTATGAATCTATGAAGGGTAGATGAAATCCAAATATAAAACCACCCCCAAAATATTCTTTACATCCTGAGAAAAACATTCTCAGGTTACTTCTAAAATCAGTCTAGTAGAATTTGCATCAATACATAATCCACTGCATAAAAAGCAAAATATAATAGCAGCATTTTATGACTAACTTCCAGATCAGGAAGAGGATAATGTGGAGGGAGATCAAAGAGATAACTAAGTCTCTAACTAACTGATGATAATGAGTGCTTTAATTTATCCCCATATAAAGCATTCAGATGTCACATAAAACTAATTTCTCAATATTATAAATGCTCACTTCTTGGGCAGCTAGTTCTAGGGCACATAGGAAAAATGTTTTTTTTATATTAGTCTCTAGTAACACAGAAGAGTCCATTCAAGAAATAATTATAGTTGAGCCATTAAGTAATAACAACCAAAATACGATTCAGTTCAGTGTTCTCAGGAGATACCATGTTCTACATTTTTTCCCTTCTTTTCTGGTAACATTCTTTACCAGGAAACATCCAAGTGTAGATGCAGGTGCTCTGGCATAAACATGTATTTCACTCAGGTATAAACTTATATTGATTAACTTTTTGTATTTTCCCTTTGCTGCTGCTGTTAGCTGTTTCTACACTATAGCTACTGTAGCTGATACATCTATAGAGGCAAAACCTTTTCTCATGTAGCTTGGGCTTTAGGCTTCTGTTTTTTTTCAGTTAATAAATTTGAGGCTCTAACAGTGATTGAAGGGTTAAAGGAGAGAGTACAGACAACACCTGATAAATTAAAAGAGCACCAAGTTACGAGAACAGAATGGTGCTTATCCACCAAGTGTCTACAGGAACTGAACACTAGTATAGTTCAGTTTCTGGTTAAAGTTTGTATTCTGTCATTGGAATCAGTAGCAGAGGACAAGAAGGTAAGAAATAGCTACTGCAAGATGGTTTTGCATCTTCTTCTCTAACATTTCACATTGGCAAATGTCAGATGCAGGACTCTGAAATAGAAGGACCACTAGTTTCTATGCAGCAACTGGCTCTTGTACAAGACTCCTTCTTGACTCCAAGGGCCTTTTGCTCTCCTTTATGTCTTGTATTGAGGGGCCAGGAACCGTTACAATTTGTGCCTCAGAAACTATTCCCTGCTAGCCCCGCAGGAGGCATACACCATGCGGGGGGACAAAAGAAAGACAGAGGAAATCCAGGGCTGCTATCCATGCTGCAGGGCACAGCTAGCCACAGCTCTTAGTGGGTGGTTCAAGCATGCACACTCAACCCACTCTTTAGTGAGCTTCAGAAGCTCTGGAGCCTGCCTGAGCTATAATACCTTCTGTACCGTCTGCCCTTACAGGTCTGTATCTGAGAGTCACAGTCATACCCTTGATGAGAGTTTATATTGTATGAGAGTTTATACAATACCTGTGGAAGAAATGGAATTTTTATTGGAAAGACATGTTTGTTGATTGTCCATCTCTTAGAGTTTGAGAGCCAGCAGCTGAACTGGATGTTAGAGATGGCAGGTAATTGCTGGACAGCTTATTAGGCCTCTGGGTAATTATTTCAGTTCTCATATACACTTCAGTTACTTACCCAGTGACAGCTACAATTAAATGGAATAATACCAACGTAAAGTAGAAATGCAGAGCAGACACGATAATCCGGATTACCTGCATAAAGTCCTAGATCATCTAGGAATTGACTGATGTCAAAAGGGTGGGCAGATAGGTTTGAGTGTAAGCCAACAGGAAATGGAAAGGCTGAGGTGATTCTGAAAGATGTTTTAAGGAAAAGCAGCAGCACTTTCTGCTCCACTCTTGAAGCAGCTCTCCTCAACTATCAAAACTTTAAACATTCAGACAATGTTGATAAATAATGGTAGGTTGAATCAATTTCTGAGCATTGTAAATGTGTTCGTGTGCAGATTTGTGTTGACAGAAATAAGTATGCTGTGTTATGATTTGGCATGGTGTAGTCACTGTATATTTACATAGGATAAACACACTTACTGCAGTGTGATGTATAAATACTGTACAGTCTTTGAGACATTACAGCATTGTGTAATTATGTAAGCAGTCTGAAAATGAAAGGGAAACTTAAAAGTCATTATTCAGTATATAGGAGATAAGGAAGCCCAATAGTGTTACAAGACATGACTATTATTTCTTGTCCATTTGAAATACGAATGCTGGAGGAACTGGTAGAACATACCAGCAGCTAAGACTCTTTCTTCCTCCTCAGCTCATAATTTTATGCTGTTTGTCAGCTCTTGTACTTGGAGAACGTGCACCTACTCATTCATACCCACTCTGTCATCACATATATACTCAAAGAGCTGATTTCGTAAGGGCAGTAAGTTCCTGTGGAGTGAGAATCAAAGGTTTCAAAGGTAGATAGAAATGGCCTTTAAGATGCCTAAAGTTGTTCTGAGAATGGGTCTGGGCCAGTGGTTGGGAAAGTGAAAGAATCTGAATAACAAAGCCTACTATTTCCATACCCTAAATACTTGAGCTTGTCAACCTTGCACATACTTTACAGCTGTTGTAAATGTTAAGGATTCATCTTTGCTATAAATCCATTGACTTTTGTGGATACATGAATTTGGCTAAAGGTACCTTGATGTCTGTGAGCAGGAAACTTCCCCACCCCAGTATCACTGAGGGTTTTACCAGTGTGAGGGTCCTAAGATCAGACTCAGAGTGTATGTACAGACTAACTTCTATAATTCTAATGAAGATTATTAACTTTAGCTAGAAACCACTTGAAAAGTTAGGTTTTAGTATCTCTAATTTTTCCAAGTTAATTATTGTTCTAACCTCATTCTACATCCCTCAACCCTGTGACAGGTGAGTGCTTGCCTATGAAAGGTGTTCTGTGTTGTTTCTGTCAGTTTAGCAACTTTGTATATAAATGTTAACTTAAACAGGAAAAGTCCTGTTTTGGGTTAGGCCCCAATTTTGACATGCCTTGTATAAAAAAGACCGAAAGGTGTGGTCCCTACCTAGAGGAGCTGGCAATCTAATTTAAAATAAGTGAATATAAAAAGATCACTTGTATAATTGACAATTTTCACCTTCTTGAAATCTGATTAATTGCAAAAATGTGACTTGTGAAGAATACTGTTCCAGTGTGGTGTTTTTTAGTGTTATCCCAAACTGTTTGTGTCTCAGCTTGCTTGGTGACATATACAATCATCCATTTTACATTTCAACACTACATAATTCTTCCTGAGTATTTAGCCAACAGGTTTTACCTTGTTGTAGTCATGCCCTGGTCTGTGGTTTGACTCGTGCAGTGTGTCCCACTACGGGGACCTTCCACTCTCTCAGAACCTCGCCTGCCATGACTTGATGGAAGATTTCAGTAGAATTCTGTCCCACAGGAAGCAGAAGGCTCCTTCGTTAGGACACCTCTCTCTGACAAATAGTCCTCTATGGCCCCTGATAAGACACCAGGCCTATAACAGGGGTTCCTCCATCCCCTGCACCCCCACCACAGGCTTCTGAATGACAGTTATTGGCTCCTGCTGTTACAGTTTCACAGCTAGGGAGCTAGTCCCAGTACCTTTCAGTCTGTATGCTGACTCCCACTGGGAGTGAGGCACTGTATCTCCCCAGATGGCTACTGGGAATTTTTCTAAGTCCGTTCCCCACAAGGATAAAGAAAGATGGGCAGGTGTACTGCCCCTCACCCTCTGCAACTGACTCTCTCAGTGGGAGGGTCCCCCTCTCCACTACTTCTGGCATCCCCTTAGGGTATCTGCTGGATGCTCCCAGCCTATCAGCGTCGGCTTCTGCTCCCTTCCTGTGGCTCGCCTCTCCTGTGTTAATATGAATCACCTAGGGTAAACTAGTGTCAGACGTTCCCTTTTCCCAGGATCTGCCCCACTCAAGCTGCCATTCCCCAACCCCTGTGTTCCTAGATAGGGCTTCGTTCTCTAGATGGTCCTGTTTCTCTAGGGAATCTTTTAAGGTGTCAGACCAGGGCTGTGCCGGCTGCTGCATATCTTGGCGTGTCTCCGCTGCCCATTCCCACACTCCCGGGGTTGTCTGTCCCTTAACCCGGGTGCAACAGGTAAGAAAAAGGTCCTTATCCCAGGGCATCTCTGCTGTATGGTGTCAGGGCCAGCTTGCTCGCCGCCCCACTCTGGCCCTCGCTGATGTTTGTCTCGATGCCAGCAAGGCAGCTCTGCTCTTGGGGTGTGAGGGAAAGGGGATGAGTGGGGAACTTCCCTTCTCAGATCCTTCTACAGTTGTCATCTGGATATTTATTTGTAGCGTCTAATTAGAATGTAGAGTGAATCAATACTTGGCTGACAGTTATTTATGTATTCCTTACAGGAAAGGTTTCAAGTGAAGAATCCGCCACATACATACATCCAGAAACTGAAGGGCTATCTTGATCCAGCTGTCACCAGGAAGGTAAGAAGCATTCTGTTTCCTTTTGTATGCTCTCACTTCTTCCCTAATAGGAAGAATCATCATTGATTCAGAGTTCCTTCCTCCCTTTGTCTAAAAGGTCCTGAAAAAATCTCTAAGGTCTCAAGATTTCAGATATAACAAACCAGAGAAAGAAACAAGGAGAAATTTGCAAGACTGCAATTTTCACAGTTCAGTTGGCAAAGAACTAAAGAGGTGAAACAAATGAGGAGCATCTGGCAAGAGCAAAAGAATGATTTAATGCCTTGTGAGTTCAAGGTATAGCCCAAAAGAATATGGAATGAAGTCTTGTATCTCAAGGTCCCTTCTTGAAATTTGGGCAGTGTTAGTCGCAAATGAAAAGCTTTGTCCTGGTGGCTGTCTTCTCATCTATTGGAAAAGATTGTTGCCTCTGTTCATATCCTAGTGACCATTTTTCCATATGACCCAGCCCTGGCACTACTTGGCTTCTTCCTGGCCATCTCAGCAGAGATTTCAAGGGCAGAAAGGGCCTGGAGACTGAAACATAGGTCTGAAATGTATTGCGTCCATAAGATATATTAACACTGTCGTCTTAGCTCTGAGAAGGATTTTGCTCTATACTCATGTACAAACCCTTTATTACTTACATGTCTGATGGAAGATCTGGGGAAAGACCAAATGTGCTTTAGCCTGAGCTGGTATGCCCTCACTTTGCTGTTAGGATGCAGCCAAGATTGCTGTGGTGCTGATAGTCCTCTAATGTTTTTTCCACACTTACCCTAAGGGACAGCTAAGTTCTTGCACAAGTGATACAACCGGCTGGGAAAGAGCGTCACTCAGGCAGGTGAAAAGACAGGAAAATACGCAGAAATACAGGCAGGACCTTACTGTGGGAACACTCATACTTGGGCTAGGAAACCTGAGATTAGTTGTGCAGTATATACATACCCCTGGTCTCAGTTTAAGGTAGAATAACACTATTTGCCTGAATCAGTTTACCACTGCTCCCTTGACCCTTTTCAGTGAGATACCCTTTTTATCTGAGTGCCTACATAATCTTTCCCCAACAGGATCAAGACCTGTTAACAGAACGTGTATTTTAGACAAATGCTGTTACATAGTTCTAGAGCAATCTTCCTGAATTGAGATGGATGTATATTGGCAACTTAAGTGAGCAGCTTGCTGTTGTCATTACTATCCCTTGGGTAAAGGAAATTGTGTATAACTTTCATTATGTCTACGCTGGCTAGCTTGAGTACTGAAGCCTTTTAGCTGCAGTAGCATGGATCTCTATCTGCAGGGGAATAGTGAGCTCTTGCAGTACCTTCGGCAGAGTGCTAACAGAGATCTGGGGTGTGGGGGGGCCTCTACCTGTCTCATCTGTCTCTGCAGTCTGGCAGCAACTGGTGCTACAGTTGAGGAGTACGTTTGCCTCAAAGCAGCTGCAGTGCAGAATACTAGAGTACACCCCTCCCTCTGCAGAAGTCTTTACTGTAGCAGGTACAGCCTAGCCATAGAAGCCAGACAGCCATGTGCCTAGTAGTAGATGGAGGAAGGGGCTGGGTGTAATGTGCCCTCCCTGGGATTTTTGCCATGGTGCAGACTTCCCAGGGACTGCTCCTGGCGCCTTGTTTGCTCCCTCCCCGTTCCATTTCCCCCTCTCAGATATGCTGCTATGTGAGGAGCAGCTCCTCCCATGCCAAAAATCCCATGGGGGATACGGGGCACCATTGTGCTTGACCCCTCTCCCCCATATAATACTGGGTGCAGGGCTGCCCAGCTTCTATGCTTAGGCTGCATCTGCCTTAGCAAAGACTCCCAGGAGAAATTCTGGTGCCCCTCTAAGTCAGTTCCTGGGGTGGGTGCTCTGCTCACCCCTCTCTAGTTATGCTACTGTCTGTGTGCGCTAATTTACCATCTGTCTCAAGCTAGGCTGATTTAGGTACCTGCAATAGCTCATTTTCAACTAGCTTGGATACTCTGCAGTGCACTGCAATATGTAGTGTAGACATATTCTTATTCTTTGAGGCTTTCAAGATGGCAGAATATTCATATATTCCATTGAATACAAATGTTGAATCATAAGTATTGGGTTACCCTAGCTGTCAGCTCCTATCTCGTGTTGATGTTTTTAACAGCCTTTAGAAAAAAAGAAGGTAACAAGAGCATAGCAGCTCCTGTCATTGACTGGCTCTCTTTCTTGCATCTTAAACAGTCAGTGCTTTGTATTGCCATTCAATTAGCTTAGATTGGTGCCTGGGGAAAAGTACATATCCTGACACATTGCTTGGAAGCCCGGGACCAACCACATAATGTAGTTGAGGTGGGCCTGTGTTACTGAAGAAATACAAAGGAGCTAGGTATCATTTGCTTTCCTGTTGGCCCTCATTTGCCCGTTGTTTCAAAGTTGCAGTAAAAGTATCTTCTGACACAATGTCTCTCTTGTTATAAGATGTGAAAAGAATGAGAATCCCATGCTTAACTTTTAAGTTTGTCTGCAGCTGATTATAGTAAACGTTTTAAATGGAGAACAGGGGTCCTTGTGTTTTTCCTGGAGGAGTTTTGAAATTCATTTAGTGTTGGGTTTCCTCCCTGGTCAGGTTGTGGGCAGACTGAAACCTTCCTTGTTCCACTATTACTATCAGACTCCCTCATAATGACAAAACCAATGCAACCTAAAAATAACTAACTCCATGAAGTCTCTCTCTTCGGTTTTATTTTGTGTCACCAACAGCCTTTTCTCAGTCAGTCTAGTCTGAAAAGGGGAAAGATTTACAAATGGGATCTCTAGACTGATACTCGCTATTGTGGGGACTATTCACATTACCATAATTATTACTGGAATGAAGGTTGTGTCAGCATTTTCTGTGGTAAACCCATGCATAATCAAGAAGAGGGAGTTCCAAATTCTGATGTAAAATATATATTTGGGGTTGTTATTGGGCTTTTTTTCCTCCAGGGAAAAACGTTATTTTTCCATCTAAGCTAAATTTTCAAATACTAAATTTAACCATATTTAAATTATACATTTTTAAACACATCATGGTTTGGTGGCTTCTAATACCTAAAGAACATTTAATTGTCTCCAGTCAAGGCTGCAAACAGCAAACAAGTTGGAGGATAATGATTAGGGAATGAGAAGTTTGGGAATATTTATCCTATTTTTGTCTCTCCCCATTCCTGTCTTTTCCCCTTTCCCCCCCCCCAAATCCTAGTACAGACAAGTTATTGTTGTTTTTACTTTGATAGAGTTAGTTGAGGTCACCCTACAGTAAGGGCATAGAGTTGACCTTGGGTAACCATACTGAAGTAAAAATTATTAATAGCTTATCTCCATTAGGATGTTACAGTGAAACAACAATATCAGTGTAGGTACACACCTTTTTGTACTGAATGCCTAGCTTGCAACAATTAACTCTTAATTAACTAAGCCTTTGGTCCCATTTCTCCTTCTTCCTCCCTCCCACCCTCCACCTTTTTCTGTCTCTCCTAGTGCAACTTCACTAAGAGAAAAAGGATGTGGTAACCCCAGTTGCTAGTTAGAATGAACTAATATGGGATAAAATCCAGGGGAGAGAAAGGCAGCTTGTAGTTTCTATGCGAGTTATCTGGCTGAGTTGGGGGAAACCCAGGTTTTATCTTGACCTGGTAACTCACATGACCTTTATAACTTGTCTTCACTAAGAGTTTAGCTTGTGTTAATGGAGTAGCATAAAGTACACACCTTCTTAGCTTATAACACCAAGACCTAAGATGATGAGAGACAGTTACAGCAACATCACTGGTATAATCAATAATTTCCACTTTCCTGGCCTATTTGGACTCTTAACAGTAAATCACCCAGGGCCATGTCTCATGTTTCACGTCTCACCCAGGGCCTCTGGCAGAGCAGTGGCTGACAGCCCTGACCAGAAGCAATATAGCAGTGGCTGTGAGGTGACAAGTTGGGGTAGCACTGCCGAGAGTCATTGCTGAATAGCTTGCTTTCAGTGCTGCGCTGCCCTGCTTTCAGTACAGTATATGGAGCTGCTGCTGTAAACAGTAAGTTTACAGTCAAGATAGAACTAAAGTGGATGAAGCTGGGTCAGTGAAAGGCATTGTCATGCTGGAAACAGAGGGTCTGAATGAAGGTGCTTGCAGCAGCTGTTACACTGTAACAATGACCTACCTGTTCCTCAGCTTGTATCCAGACTTCTCCAGCTTTAACCATGCTTCATCCAAGGTCAAATTTGGGATGATTTAACTTGCTTGCATTGCTTTAGGCTTATGCAAAGGAACCAATTAGGGCATAACAGCTGCTGTGTGCTCCCAAGCAGCAGCATCCTCTCCCCTTCTTTGGCTTCTTCAAGTGTACATTTCTCCATGTCCAGAGTTGTATAGAAATAACTAATCCTAACTATTCCAGAACAATTATTCTAGAGTAGCTATACTAACAAATGACCAAGTGTAGGTAAAATCTAACGAGGAGAAGAGAATACATAGTCTTTTCTTGGTGTGAGCGGGTAGAAAAGGAGGGCATCGCTGGATCTTAGAGACTGCCCACATACAAGAGTTAGTGTTGCTATAACATCTTCAGACACAATGTGGAGATGAACTTATTTTCCTTCAGCTGGGAATGCTCTAATGGTCCTTCAGAGATCTTCAACAATGATCAGCAGCATTGCAACTGCAGAGGGTGAAGAGAAGCCTTGCCACTGTTCCTCAGGGACATTTTGCCAAATGTAATTTCTTTAGAGTGAAACTGCAGTGATGTTATTTGAAGAAAAGTCAAAGTATATCTTTATTAGAGCATTCTGATGTGATGTAGTGTAACCTAATATATGACTTCATATTGCATTTAAGCTGCATCTCATCCCAACTTCTAATTTTTTAGACAGAAGTTTGCACTCCCAAATGACTGGAGCACGCAGATGTTAGTACTTTGATCCCTAATTATTTGTTTGCTCCCACAGATCACATAGTTAGATGTAAATGCTGGTAAGTCTTCTGTTTATGGGCACAAAATTAGAGGTCTAAAATTACACATCCTTACTGCTTAGATCCATAAAATGTAATTGCCTATGAAATATTCAGTGATAAAACAGAAATTGTAGAATAAAAATGCACATTCCTTTGACAAGTTTCAATTCTCATGTTGCTTACACATTTTCACATGAGTACAAAATTTTAGTTGTGAACAGTTATTTTGTTTAGTTTAATTTTTTTTTTATTGGTCTGATTAACAGTCTTATTCCTCAGGATTTAGAAAAGTTCTCAATATATTTAAAAATTCTTACCTTCTATTTGCCTTCCATGAGATTTTGATATTTTTGAATAGCATCAAAAGTCTAAATATTTAATAGTCTAAATATGACTCCAAGTGTGTTTTCTCAAGTACTTTTTTTCCTTTATTGAATTATAGAAATTCAGAAGACGAGTCCAAGAATCTACACAAGTACTGCGAGAACTGGAAATTTCTTTAAGAACAAATCATATTGGGTAAGAGATTTTAATAATCTTATGACATAGATCTTTAGATCCACAGATGGCTAGCTCTGGGCAAATTTCTTCATTCTAAGAAATGAGGTGCTTAAATTTATTGGTCATTAAAGATTGAGGAGCTAGGACTTGGACATTGCAGTGATTAATGGTGCTAGCTGTTCATTCTTAGATGGCGGGGCCCCATCCAATACCCTTTGAAGTAAAGATTTCCATTGACTTTTGCAAAACCTGTATCAGACCCTAGGTAAGTCAGAAGAAAAATGAGCATTGAGGTCTACAGGTTAGTCGGCTGTCACAAATCCAAATTTACCACGTCTGTTCAGAAAGCATCAAGTCTGGAAGAATAATAGGTTTATATGAGAGCAGAGACATGCTGCATTTGAAGCCTTTGCATGATATGCTTGTATGGTGCCTGGTTTTAGCTAACACTCTCAGGATTTTACTTTCACAAGTACAAAACTCTTATTTTGTATATACTGTCTAAATGTATATTTAACTCAGTTTTGGCTACTGTAGTCAGGACTAAACTCAAAAATGCATGGCGTGTAAAGACATGTTATTAGTATGCACAACAAAAAAGATTTCTTTAAAGCAGGGCTGTCAAGCGTCAGAGGGACTAGTGGCCACATGCTGCATTACTTGTGGGCTAGTAGCTGCATGCCCTGGCTTTTGGGACCTCCACCATGCAAACGGTATAAGCTTCTCCCCAGCTTACAACTGCCTCCAGGCAAACCTCTGGCTCTCTCCCTGCCCCCCACTGCTCCAGTATGGGCATTACAGGTGCATCCTGCCACACAAGCCCCATGCTGCCACCCCTACCACATGTGCAAGGTGGCAGCCCCCTGCCACTGCCACATAAGCAGTGTGAGCTCCTCCCTCTTGTAACTGCCTCTGTCCCTTGCATGGGAGCTTACTGCTATGCTGCCCTGCCCCAGAGACCCTGGCCACCACAGTGGCAGGAGCAGTGGAGGGGAGTGGTGGTCAAATGGGAGCCCACAAGCCCTACTTTAACTCCTTGCAGGCTGTGTGCAGCCTGCAGGTTGCCAGTTGGACAATGCTGCTTTAAACTTTGTTGAGAGATGCCAGGATACATGAACCTAAATTAGGTTCTCTAAGGTAAACTTTTGCACTTGCTGATCATATTTGAGTGAAACCAGAAAAATAGCAGTAGTTAGCAGGTTGGTTGAGGCAAAAGAGTAATCACATTCATTTATTCTCATCAGAAAACTCTCTGCCAGTTTTCATGAACTCACAAATAGTCATTGTTTTTTATTCTGGATTGAATTTTGCTATTAACTCCAAGCTGCCTTTATCCTGATGTGGTGTTTCTACTGCTGCTTACTTGTAGAGAGATACTACCCAAGGGATCAGGCAGATGGGGCAATACTGAAGTGACTGCATGGATGCAACATGCTAATTCACTACTTGGACAGTGGCGAGTCATTTGATTTCCTAGAAATAAACTTTGAGGCATTTCCTTTCAAAAGATTTCAGAGACCCCAGTGACAAAAAGCTGCTACTGCTCTGTCTAGGAGCCCCTCGACCCCACTGATGATGTAAGCAGTCAAGAAAGCATCTTCAGCACAGTTGTAAGGATGTCTTTCTACTGTGTTTCTTTTCTTACATAGGCCTGGAACAGTTGCTGATCTAATTAGCTACATGAGAGTTGTATGACTGTGTGGTGGCTGGAATTATGTGACGTGCTGCTAAATCCCAGAGACTATATATGGGAACAGGCAACAGTATAAGAGTATTATGGATTCAGATCAAGATTCCACTCTTTAAGAGTCAAGACTCCAGTTGGCAACCAGCTGTGTCAAAATATGGTAGAGCTCTACATGCCTGGGATTTCCATGTAACATCAAAAGGCTTTCTGAAACATTACTGAAATTAAATTAAATTGACCATCAAATACTGAAGTTAGACCATCCTTTTTAATATAGTGCTGGCAGAATTGCAGTGTTTCAGGCTGCATCTGCTGGAATAAGCCAGTACAGTCTGTAAGCAGTTGTAGCGGTTTGTCAGCAGCTAAAGTACAAGCTACAAAATGTTGTGGACTTTTTTCCATGGAATTGTCAATAGAAACTTCCTTAAAAAAGAAAAAGGAGGCTTACAGGCAGTGGAAACAAGGGGTAGTCACCAAGGAGGAATACAAAAGTACAGCCCATATTTATAGGGAGAGGATAAGGAAGGCAAGGGCAAGTGACATCAGGTTGGTGACTGAAATCAAGGGCAGTAAGAAGTCCTTCTTTAGGTATATATAGTGAGCAGAAGGAAGACCTAGGGAAATGTGGAGCTCTTGCAGAATCAGATGGGACAGGTGATAACAGACAGTCAGGAGGAAGCTGAACTCTTTAATGAATACTTTGTCAGTTCATAGATTCCTAGATTGTTAAGGGCTGGAAGGGACCTTGCAAGATCATTGGGTCCAACCCCCCTGCACTAGGCAGGAGAGACAACTGGGGTCGGGTGACCTCAGCAAGGTGACTGTCCAGTCTCCTCTTGAAGATTTCCAGGGTAGGTGATTGCACCACCTCTGGAGGGAGTTTATTCCACAGTCTGGACGCCCTAACTGTGAAGAAGTTCTTCCTAGTGTTAAGCCTGAAATGGTCTTCCAGGAGTTTGTGACCATTACTCTTGTTTTTTCACAAGGGTGCCCTGGTGAACAGTTGTTTGCTGAGCCCATGATGTGTATTCCCCTGATATAGGGTAAGCTGCTACCAAGTCTCCTCTCAGCCTTCTTGTTTTTAGGCTGAAGAGACCCGAGTCCCTCAGCCTTTCCTCTTATGGCTTGTGTTAGTGTTACTGCATGCAAATGGTGATTGCTCACCTGGTCAGATACTGGATGAAATGGTTGCGGGGTTGGGGGAAGAGAGGACCAAGCAATGGTCAGTGTCAAACTGGTGAGGGAGCACTTAGAGTGGCTGAATGTCTTCAAGTCAGCAGGACCAGATGGACTACACCTGAGAGTGCTGAAGGAATTCGCTAAGGGAACTGGCTGAGGCTGCACGCTCTTGGTGCATGGTTGTCATGGGAGACTTCAGCTACCCAGACATCTCATCAGAAGAGCACTCAGCCAAATCAGCTCAGTCACAAAGCTTCCTCACATGCTTGGATGACCTCTACCTGTCTCAAGAAGTTTATGGGTCAACAAGAGGTAAGGCGCTGCTGGACCTGGTACTTGTGGCAGGCCAGTAGGGGGTGCTCCTGCATTAAGCCACCCACCCCACTGCACCCAACCACCGTCCAGGCTCCGAGTGCCTCCCTGGGGTCATCTCACATCTGGCCGACCCTCTTCATGGAGCACACCCGCTAGCCTGGGGGTAGAATTGCCATCACCCAGGGATGGGCTTGATTCTGGCTCTGCGCCCCCTGGGAAACAGGCCTAATAGCCCTCAAGGGTACTTGACTCACTTCAAGAACTTGGGGTGCTTCCCTCAGTTGGAAGTACAAGTAGTGGTCTCCCTTAGTCAGCTGAACCAAGGGAACCCCAAGGCATAGTCTAGACCCACTCCCAATAAGTCTCCCAGGCTAGGTACAAAGGAGAACTTTATTGGTTATAAAGGGTAGGGTTGGAATAGGGTACAGAGCTGAGTAGTATCAGAGAAATCCCATAGAGCAAACAGGGTGGCTGGGGTAGCCTTTGATCACGCATCTGAGTTACTGCAAGCTGTATATCTAGTTAGATCTCAGGTAGCTTACTCACAAGGATCATCCAGAGGCTGTTGGAGATTCCCTCTGGAGGCAGGCAGTTCCATGATCATGAGTTTTGAGAGAGAGAGCAAGTTTCAGATGGTACAGCTCTTCTCTCTCTCTGAGTCCTCCTCGTGGCTGCCGGCCCCTCCTCCTGGGCAGTCCTTAACTTATATAGCCCTTATGACCTCACTTACAAGGGAGGCCAGCACCTGTTGGCTGTCAGCCAACCAATTTGAAATGCATCACTAGTTGCTAGGCAGACTGGCAGTCCCTAGCCCACCAGGGAGCCCAAGCCCCTCACCCAGGTATGTGATGCTAGTCACGTAGGCAGAGGGAGCAGGTTTCCCCCCTCCCTCATGAATGTATCCAGCTCAGCTTACCCAAAGAGAAGGTAAGGTGTGTACCCCCTGAAGGGCCGATCCTAACCAAATTGTCACAGAGCAGAGTTTTTTGGTGAGAAACAGAGGTGGCCTTCTGCCACAATAGTGGCCAAAGGAGATGATCTAGTCAGCAACCTAAGAATCGAAGGGAAGCTGGGAGACAGTGACCATGAGCTGATCACTTTCACCATCCATCGCAAAGCTAGCAAGTCAGTCAGCGATGCAGAAGTCCTCTTCTTTAGGAAAGCTGACTTTCATAAGCTCAAGAGGCTAGTTTTCGAGGCCCTGAGAGGCCCTGATTTGACAGGGAGGGAAATTCATGATGAGTGGTCGCTCCTTAAGGAAGTGATCCTTGAAGCAGTAGGGAAGTCTGTTCCAGCCCATGGGAAAGGTAGTAAAAGGGTTTGACAATCCCCTTGGCTCAGTAGGGAACTCATGGACCTTCTGTATCTAAAAAGAGAAGCTTATAAAGGATGGAAGACAGGAAACACCACTAAGGAGGAGTATTCAGCGCTGGTCTGCACCTCTAGGCTGTGAACTAGGAAAGCCAAGACTGTAACTGAACTCCAACTGGCTACACGAATCAAGGACAGTAAAAAGTCCTTTTTCAGATATGTAGGAAGTTGGAAAAAAAACAAGGGCAACATTGGACCCCTGCTAAACCAAATGGGGCAGCTGATAACTGACACCCAGGAAAAAGTCTGCTTAATGATTACTTTGCATCAGTCTTTCACAAGCGCAAAGGGACCACCCTGCCTGACAAGATGCAGGATCACGAGGGTAAGGGTATAGATCTTGTGAAGGAATATCTTAAGAGGCTGGACACGCACGAATTAGCTGGTCCGGATAGATTGTACCCAAGAGTGCTAAAGGAACTGGCTGACATAGCTCAGCCACTAACAAGGGTATTCGAGAACTCTGGCTTGCATCTACTGATGCATCTCAAGCAAGACCCAGGATGTCATCCTCCCACTGTACTTGGCCTTGGTGAGGCTGTAGCTGGAGTACTGCATCCAATTCTGGGCTTCACAATTTAGAAAGATGAGGAGAAGCTTGAAAGAATCCAGAGGAGAGCCATGTGCATGATGAGAGGGCAAGAGAGCAGGCCTTATGAAGAGAGGCTGAGTGCCATGGGACTCTTCAGCTTGGAGAAGCATAGGCTCAGGAATGACTTGGTGGCAGTCTATAAGTATGTAAGGGGTGTGCATCAGGAACTGGGAGAATGTCTGTTCACCAGGGCACCCCAAGTGAAGACATGGTTCAATGGTCACAAGCTCCTGGAAGACTGTTTTAGGCTGGACATAAGGAAAACTTTCTTTACTGTCTGAGTCCCCAAGGCCCGGAATAGACTTCCCCCCTGAGGTGGTGCAAGCTCCTACTCTGGACTCTTTCAAGAAACGTTTGGATGCCTATCTTGCTGGGATCCTTTGACCCTAGCTGACTTCCTGCCTCTTGGGCAGGGGGCTGGACCTGATGATCTTGCAAGGTCCCTTCCAGCCCTAATGCCTGTGAAATCTATGAGTTGGCTGGAGTCACTGCGGGACCATTGGCGAAGGTATTTGAAGGCTTGTGGTGGTCAGGAGAGGCCCCAGAAGCCCGGAAAAGGGCCAATGTGGTACCAATCTTTAAGAAGGGGGGGGGGGGATCTAAAATCTTAATAAATCTCTTATTGTTGGGTTTGTCTTGATTTTCTCAAGTTGTCAGTAAGAACCCAAAGTAGTCAGGTTCTGCAGGAATTGATGTTTTGGTATCACTGGACCGTAGTGCTTCGGGCCTCCTGAATGCACTGCTCACCTGCTCTCACTCTGCATGCCCCAGACCAGTGAAGCTTTGCTGAGGCTGCTCCTCACTGTTGGTCTGCAGCATGCCAGAGACAGAGATTTTGAGAAACATTGAGGGGCTTGGTGGGTTTACTGCCTCATTTCCTGGTTTGCCATGTGTGACTAGAGTCAGTAGTTGGAGTGTGCTTTTTGGTGGCACACTCAAATTTATGACAGGTTGTGGAATGCACATGCCCTTAGACTGGGGCAGGCAATTATTTAGGCTGGAGGGCTGCCTAATGAGTTTTGGTGAGCTGTTGAGGGCCGCAAAGGTATCCCCGCCCCTTGACAGGTGCCCCACTGCCCGGTTGCCATCTTGGGACCAGATGTCCTGCTGCTAACCTCTAACCTTTGCCACCAGAAGTCCCTCCCCTTGCACCCTGGAAGTACTCCTTTTGGGGAGGGAGGGCTGCCATCTTAGAACCAGGAAAAAAAAGCATATACTAAAAGTCAAACATTACTATAACATATTTTAATTTTATTACAAAAAATATTTCTGTCGTGATTTGTGTTTGTGTAGTGTATATGGAGATGATTGCGTAATAACTAAAAAATAAAGACTTACTTTTGTATCTTGTGTGTGGGTTGTGGTTGAGGGTGGGTGGGTGGATATATGGTGGGGTGTGGGGGTTTGTGAGGTGGTGTGGCTGTGTGGTGGGGGCAATAGGCTATATTAGGGGGTGTATATATGGGGAGGTTGTGGGGGCAGAGTGTGGGTGTGTGGCTTTTGTGGGGTGTGAGGGAGGGTGGGAGGGGTGTAGAGACCCCCCACACACTCCCTCCTATGGTGCACAGCCCCTGCTGCTCGTGGCGGCGGTGGGTGCTCATAGTCCATGCAGGTGCTGCCACCTGGTGATGCACAGCTCAGGCTAGTGCAAGTGGTGGCAAGGACCACAGCCAGGCCAGCCCACCTCTATCATGCGAGGCTTTGTATGGTGCACGTGCAGCTCCTGGCACTTGCGCATCACCGGGCGAAGTCCTGCATGATGGAGCCGGCTGTCTTCCCTGCTGCCTGCCATAAAGGCCCCGGGACTGCTGGGAAGCAGGGGGCAGGGCTCCCCTCCACTTCTGATGGAGTCCCAGGACCTACATGCAGGGAGTGTGAAGGCAGCCAACTCCATTGTGCGGGGCTTCCCCCGGTGACGTGAGTGCTGGGAGCCGCACGTGTGCCATGCAGAGCCCTGCGTGATAGAGGCAGGCCAGCCTGGCTGCACTCCTTGGTGACACTTGCAGCGCTGGCTGGAGCCTCGGACCGCTGGGCGGCAGTGCCTGCGTGGGCCCAGATTGCCCACCGCCTGCTGCTGCTGCTGTCACCAGCAGCAGGGACTATGCACCATGGGAGGAATGTGTGAGGGATCCCCCACCTTCCCTCACAGCCCTGCCCGCACAAGCTCTGCACTCCCTCCACCCTGCTGGTTGCGGTCTCTGCGCTGCCACCAGCCTCATACTCTGCGCTTCTGCCCAGCTGCGGCTCCCCCTCCCCTGCTGCTTCCCTGCCTGGTGCCCAGATTGAGCGGGATGCTGGGAAAGCTGAGCAGGTCCCCTCCAGGGAGCTGTGTGCTGGCTGAGCCCACAGCGGTGGGAGCAAGGTGCGCAGGCTGGGTGGGGTACAATTAGTTGGTGGGTGCCCGTGGGCTGGATGAAATTGCCTGGCGGCCCAGATCCAGCTGGTGGGCTGTATTTTGCCCACCCCTGCCCTAGACTTTATCAAGCTAACTTTAAAAAAAAAATGTGATCATTTGGTATGAGAAGCCAGATGTATTTTAAATATATCCAGCATTTTCTGTCTTGTCTCTCACTATTAATGTGTTGCTTATTTCCTTTACCTCATGAAAGATTGTTGTATGCTACTGTGTGGAAAAAAACAAATTCATTATAACTGTTGTATTTCAAGAAACCCATAAACACCAATCTATTACTGGCAGGTCCAGTAGTTTATGCAGCTTGTTGTGCCAGGATGAGTGTGGATTTGGACTGAAGCCTGGCTATAGAGGTAGTGTGGTCATGTTACCAGTCTATTAGGTAGTCCGAATGGGACACCATCTCCCAGTACAATTTTTTTTCATGTAGAAAGGGACTCATATATAGCTTTTCTTCAGCAGTGCAGAGTTCATGGCATAGGTATTGATTGTATGGAATGTGTTTCTTTTATATTGCTGCAAATGCATTAGTTTTATTTATGTATATTTTTAGGTCCTTTATTCCAAAGTGAAGACAGAATAACTTTTGCTCAGTGTATTTTCTTTTATACAATGGATATGCCTGTGGTTTCATTGAAAAGGAATACAATCAGCCCCCCACCCCCTGCAGAAAACAATAAAGTGCACTGATCTCTAATGATTTTTTTAACAGATGGGTCAGAGAGTTTTTGAATGAAGAGAACAAAGGGCTGGATGTTCTGGTGGAATATTTGTCATTCGCACAGTACGCTGTCACGTAAGTAAGACATGACTTGTATTCATCAGGGTTGCAAAAACAAAACAAAAGATCCAGCACTAGATAGCAAACCCGGGAGAGAAAGATCAAGTTGGATGCTGCAGTCTTCCTGTGAAGTTGTTTTCGTTGCAGTGGCTTGGCCTAAAATTATGTAGACACTTTAGGAGAGAACCAGAGTAAAATGCAAAATTAGTCCAAAAATGTTAGATCACAGCATACTACCAAGGAAAAATAGATACTTGTTTATATCATTAAGCTTTCAGTTTTTCATTTACTTTTAAGACTATAATCACATCTGTTTTAGCTTTGATTCCCCCCTTAGGGGGACAAAGTGCAACAACTGAACAAATTTAGTTTTATATCAAGATGCATGCCTTTTCCAAAACTTCTTTTAAAATTTAAAACTAAATTTTAAGACCATCTAAAAAGTCAGAGACAATGCCAGAAATAAAACAAAGAACCCCTGACTCCCAGTTATCTGTTCTGAACACTGGGCAATACTTCTAAATAGATATAGGTGACTGTACTATTTAAAGTAATGTAACTTTGGGAAAAAATAATTGCGTGCCAGTGTAAGCCATTGTATCACCATTGTCTTGAATAGAAGTTCAATGACGTATTTTAACTGAGAACCACTTCTCACATACCCACAGGATTTCATGTCATTATTTTCATGCTAAAAGCTGTAACTACAACATAATGTGGTAAGAAAGGGTAGGACTGAGGATTGTATTAGCAATGCAAACTCAGCTGAGGGGAGTCAACACTTTATTTTTAGATTGGATACATACAGATGCATATGACTGTTGCTTAGAAATGAGATTTTTTGATGGACTTGTAATAAAACTAATGAAGGAAAATTACATGTTTAAAAAATGTTGCTAACACTGGAAAAATGGCTCACAGCACAAAGCTATGCCTGTTTAAAGACTTTGTTCCTAAAATTGTACAAGTGCATGCAAGTTAGCTTGCCGAGGTTTTTTCCTTCTCTAACGTGGTAAACATGAGTAATGACCTCAAAAAATGTAAGAGGAACAATCAGCTCTTGCTTGAAATGGCAGAACTTTGGGCGACAAATCAAAAATCAAAGAATATCTGTAATGATTATGGTAATGGATTACATATGTTTGAAGGTTAGCTTTGACTAGCAAGCCAGTATAAATGCTCGGTCACATATTGATGGATGAAACTAAATTAGTGCTCACACAATGTATAGATTTATTAAGATAAAATGAAGACAGCTTTGAGCTTCCCCCTCCTTCCTACAAGGCAGTGTTGTTCATCAACAAATCATCCAATGTTGTATGTATTTTACATTTAAATAGAATAATACATGACTGTTTGATTCTTCCTAAATTATATCCCTGTGTTGTTCTTTCTTCTTTTGTCAAGGTCCAGGTTTGCTGCAAAATGTATTTGAAGCTAGCTCTATGTTCCAGCTGAGGGGAAATTGTTTTGCATTGCTTTCTTTCTTTTTTCTTGTAATCTGCTGGGACCTAGTAAAATCTGCAGATGTTTAACAGGAAGGAAAATGCTATGCACCTCTTTTCTGTGTAAGCCTATATTGGAATTTCTATTTCCTTTCAGTTTTGACTTTGAAAGCTTGGAGAACAATGTAGAAAACTCAATGGATAAATCCAAACCTTGGAGTCGTTCCATTGAAGACCTGCACAGAGGAAGTAACTTACCTTCTCCAGTTGGCAATAGCATTTCCCGGTCTGGCAGGCATTCTACTCTACGGTAAGACCTTTTAATCAGGCAGCAAGATTTACCTAGGAAACAATGGGTGTGCAAGTCAGAAAGATTGCCTTGGTTTTTGAGTTTCAATGATATTTTGTATATTTTGCATCTTTCATTCCTAAGTAGTCTACAGACTTAACTTCCACAGGAAACATGTCACTGTGCTATGAGCTCTGAGATGGAATGAAACAGCAACTGAATAACCTACAACAGCACTATGCCGCAGTTGAGGGATTTGAGAGAGAAATACTGTATGCACTTGCAATAGTAGAGTAAATTAAGCAGGCAGAGTATAATTATTCAAATTACAAGTTGGCTAGTACACTAGGAACAGTATTTCTTCTCTTGCAAGCAGTGCATTTGGGTGTTTACCAGGGCTTTGTGTCTAACTTCTCATTTCAAATGCATCATCTTCCACAGTACCATGCACTCTTAGTACTGTGTAGGAGCAAAAAAGTAAAACCACTTTCCTACTTCAAACCCAGCATCATTTCTGGAAGCGTTGCACATTTTCCTAAGAGTTCTCTCACCAGATTTTGAACACATATTGAACCTGTTTAGTTTGTGGTATCTGACAGAATCATAGCCTGAGAATGGAGAGTTATTTTATGTGCCTTCATGCTGTGCTTAGGAATACTTTTTCATGATTATAAAACATTGGATATTATCCTTAGGTACTAATGTGGTCGGTTGTATGGGTCAAGATGGTGGTAGAATTCAATGGCTTGTTGTTTTCAGTTGTTAAGATTTTGTTAGATAATATTGGGAGGTTGAAGAAATCTTACAAAGCTGGAACCACTACAGGTTTAGTAATTTGTTCTATGTCTGCCATTCAAGGTTCAGTAGTAATTTGACAAGCCAAGCTAATTTTGGGCTCTCTAAGTCCAAGGTCAGCAGATATCAACAATACAGGCTACCACTGCAGTTGGAATGGATCTGAAGTCTGGAAGTTTTAACTGAAGGATTTCAGGAAGTCAAGAGGAAAACAGTGGAGACATGGAATTGGACATAGTTCTTGCTGCAAATATACAAAACTATAAAATGAAGTGCATTTGTATTGACCCACAGGTCAAGGTTTTCCTGAAAATGCAGCAGAGGATACATCTATTTTATTTTGTTTTGTTTTTCTGTACTGAATTATCAGAGGGCAGACAGCCTGGATCACTTAAATCTTTATAAAGTGACTGTCATAGTACTTGATACTTCCGTGTTCCTGAGAAGGTCAGTTACAGAGTGCAAAAATATTTTAAAATAGGCCTTTAAATCAGAATCTAGTGTTTATGGTTTAAGGACATCATTTGAGGCAGAATGTAGTCCTGTTTGACACTAAAAGACATGTGACAGTTAGGTCAGGAATTAAAAATTAAGGGGTGCATTACATGTTTCTTACATTTTTCTCTTCCTTCCTCCTATTCTGTTCTTTCCCTTACCTTTTCCTCCTCCTCCCATACATCTCTTCCCTCCCTATTTTCCAAACCTCCTTGTCCTGTGCTAACATTCCCCTCCTTCACTTTCACACATCTTGCATCCATCTTTCAATATGCCATCAGATTGGTTTCTCTGCCTGAACAGCTTCAGTTCAAACACCGCCAGGGCTGCTTTTCACCCAACTGTCTCTGGAGTGGCTTCACTTTACACTCTGCTGGTGAAGCTTCAAGCCGGAAAACCTCGTAAGTCATGGGTGTAAGATTACACCCAGCCAGATCTGCATAGTGCATGGTAGCAGGTCTAACACTGCTGCCCATGTATTATAATATGATAGCCATATGCCTTCCATGAGGCACTGAGCTAAAAATGAGTTGCGGGTTTCCAGCACTGGAAAAACATGGTTATCACATTATAATTCATATTTGAAAGTGTAGTTTGCTTCTGTAGAGTGGGGTTGGTAAAAAGAAAATAAAAATGTATGTGAAAATGTTTATTGTTCATAATATGATATTATCCTTATTAGATTTATATATAGAACAATAGGTATTGTCCATAATGCTTCCTAATTTACTATGAATAATAATCTGTGGTTCAAACCCTAACTGTTTTTGTACTCAGATTTTGAGGAGAGTTTTATTCAAGTGAGGACAGTGGCCATAAAATGCAATTAATAAAAACAATTTCACTTGCATCAGAAAATGCTGTGGAATTGTAACCTATTAGGGCAAAGCCATTAGCCAGTAATGGTACTCCAGGTACTTTGTCCTGAACATTGGTAGCTGTCTATAGAGTCCGTCAGAATGATGTAGCTTGGGCAGAAACTGTATTTTATGGCAACTGTCTTTCGAACTGGCATATAATCAGAATCAAAGTGATTTATTCCCAAATGCAGACTTTTCTGTGTGGACCTGATCTATGCCCAAGCTTTGGGCAAATTTGCATTTGCATATGAAATCAACAAATGCTGGGAAATATGTTTGGGACAAATGCTGACCTCACTAGTAGCAGTGGAGTCTTCATATCGGCAAATCCCACTGCAGCATCCTGAGAAAAATTTGTCATTGGTGTAAATCCATTATTGTTAATTACACTCTCTTTCTATTCTTTGCTAGTCCCCTCTCTTGTATATGGTAAAGACTATCCTTCAGTTTTCAAATCGTAACTTTAATTAACTTCTTTGCAGTGCTTTTGAATAGCTGCTCTGTGTATTACAATCTCATATTTGTTTCCATAGCAACTGATGTATTTTAAAGAGGAAGAAGCAAAGAGAGTCTGGGGAAGAAAACAAAAATGGAGATAGGCTAAGAAATACATGTTGCTTACATTTAATACATGATAGTCTAATCTGATGTTCCCTGAAGCTTTAATTTTACTTTCTTGGGGTGACAGAATTACTATAATTTGAGAGCCATTTTATATGCATGCCAATTCTCTGTATTCCAAGTCAACTACATAGTGTACTTTGGTTATACTTTGATAAACTTCATTTCTATCATAGGAATACATGGGAGCGTGTCTGACTTAATAATGAGCAAGACTGTCAGGTATTGGCCGTATGCAGAATATGTTTTATTCTGTACATACGAGTATGTATACACATACCTATATTTTATAAGTAAGAGATGGAATTCTGATAGGATTTGGGGGTGAAGGCAGTAGGAAGGAAAGGGGGAGTTTGGGGACACTAGGAGGAGAAATGAGAGCTACTGAGCATAAGATATTATATAAGGAGATGAGCTTATTTATTAGCTCTCATTGTGAGGGATCTGGCTGAGGAACCAACTTCCAGATGAAAGCAAGCAAACACAGAATCAACCCATTTTTGGCAAAACCTACCCCTTCTGTCAGCAAAATGACTCTCATAACACTGAAACCCTTTTTCATTGCTTAGTCCCTACACAGGTACAAAACCTCAAAACTAGAAACACTATCCTAAGCAAAGTTGTGACCTTCTAAAGAAGGTAATACCATAGAGACTCACTCCATGAAGTTCACTATAGACTTGCCTTAATTGTGCTGCATTTTATATGCAAGGGGTTCAGATATTTTGGTAATGAATGATAGGATCGAATACAGATAGATAAGTAGATTGAGGAAGTGGAATAAAAATCAAGCTGTTCGTGAATATGGTGCGTTAGGATTGGTGACCAAGGTCCATGCCTTAATTTAAGCACATAAATTGTCCCATTTAAATCAGTAAGGTTGCTTAGTGGTCTGAGTTACACATGTGTTTAAGTGCCTTGAGAAAATTGAATATTTGTTCATTTTATATACCTCAGTTTGCTGGAGAGGTGTTTTAAACTGTCTATAAAGCATCTGTAAAAGCTCCATGGATAGTTTGTATCTGCGTAGACTCTAGATTTGACTGCTCTGGCTTCAGTTTTATTAAGTCCTGAGGATGTGATTGGCAGTCCCTGTTGGTAGCATTAATAGAGAAGCATGGCCATGGAGACTGAAATAATCTCATAACCACAAAGGTTTTCAGACTGGCAAGACAACTGATGTGAGGAAGAGTGAACTTTCCTCTTCTTCTGTTATCCCAGGTCTCTGGTGTCCAGAAGTGCCAGGTCAGCAGCTTTCATAAGAACTAAATTAATTTACAAAATAGTTGGCAAATATAATCAAAAGAAATGGGTGCACTAGTAGATACATCTCCTGTTATTCAGTGTGGATAAGGGAAGAGTATACAACCTTGGTTGTAATGTATAATCAATAAGCAGCTTACCGTCCTTTTGACTGTTTTTTTTTTTTTTCCATGTGGTGCAGGGTAGTAGATTTGGAAATGCTGGGTCATACATACATCCCCAAAGCAACCATCAGTGCATGTACAAAACCATAAAGTAGCTGAGCCAGATGCGACTCCCTGCCCCTGACAGTAGGAAAATATTATAAACTAGAAGCTTGCACATGGCCAGGTTTTCTCTCTTTTTTACTTTTTCAAAACCAACTTTTTATAGCTTCTCTTTAAAGGCAAGACAGAGGAAATAAAAGAGGAACCATATGAATTTAATTACTAGAAAAAATATACCATCAGTGACATAATCTCTGACCTGCAGCAGAAAGGAAATCAAAACCAACAATGTATTCAAATGCTCAAATCAACTGAACATTTGGTAACAAGAAATGAAATTAAAGCAATGGAAGATCAGGCCATAATCTCATCTACCCAAGTTTGGCACAGTTCTTCTAAGTGAAATGTAGAGTTACTGCCAATGAGTCCTGCCACTAGAAACAACATAGAGCAGTGCTGCAGTTGCCAGTAACTAGAAAAGCAGATTAATCAATATTCTGGTGCACAGAGTCAGAGTAAGAGAGTTCAGGTACTAAAACCATCTTTAGTCCATAGTCCTTATGTCTGTGTGAGGGAAGAAGAATTAGGTATAAATGAAAGGCAAAATGTCATTCTTTAATGTGCACCCTGAATATTTGCACTATGTATTTTTACAGCATATTCTGTACTTGCCTTTTATCCTGAACATCGATGAAAATGCTGAGAGTGCTGAGAGCAGAATACTTAATAGTGAAGGCAGGGGGAAAGCAAGGGATAGTGCCTGAAAGAAAAATCTAAAGCA